TAGTACTGTAAACACTGAACTACTGAGTTGAAATATTAAACTATGGTGCAGTACCAAGTTGAGTACAGCAGGGGGCAGTATTGGACCAATAAAAGGCTCCATTGACTGCCATTATAATTCATTAAACATTAACATTTCGTAAACTATACGTTTTACAGGCACCAAAACGCATAGCCGTCATTTGGCACAGGAGCTTTACAGATACAAATTACAATGGCAGCTCTAGGACAAAGTATGCAGGAGGAGAAGCRTKSCAAAGTKGAGATGAYTTGGMTGGGAAAYKAATCACAAYAGTGTGCATTGCATTGGAAATGCACACTGATTAGCAGTGAGCAGGTAAAAATATAAAATAACAGAAGGAAGCTGAAACAAAGTTCAGGTCAGAATGATAACTGAAAAAAGGCAAAGTAGAAGCTGAAGGAAGCTAAAATTAGCACAAAGATGTAAAAAAATAAGGCAGAACCAGAACAAAAGATAAAACATGCTGAATAAAAATTTTAACTATTTAAAATAATAGTTTTAAGGATGTTGAAGACAGCTCTATTCCTTTTTCGATAGAAAAACTGCCAAAAAAGCTAAATATCTCAAAAAGTACAAGTTTCTGAAGTACTAATAGTCATAACCAGAATGTCAAAAAAAGCACAAAAATTGCAAAACAGGTTCTGTAAAAAACATAAGGAAGAAAAAAGGATGTTTTATAAGCATTTTCAGAATTATTAAATTCACCGGACAGTGAATATTTGGGAATTGCTGCAAATCTGAAGCATTTTTTTAAATGTTTTCTAAACAGTTTTTCTTTAAGATTTGTATAATTAGATTTTTTTTTCTTGTTTGTTTTGTACAAAGTTTATTTTCCATCTCTGTAAATGAGATGCACTCTTATATGAGTGTAACTTCAAACAACACAAAGACATATCTGGAACGATCGACAGATTAAAATGATAAATTGGAGGAAAAGCTGAGAATAAAAACAAAGATTTAAAGGGGTAAAGTCTTGAATCTACAGCAGTTTTTCAGAAGACACGTCTCTTGGTAAAGCCTGTTTTTAATGCTCTGTTTCTCTGTGTTTTCTCAGGTGTTTCGCAGAAAGGCAGTGGAGTTGGGTGAAAAGCTGCTGCCGGCCTTCAGAACGCCCACAGGCATCCCCTGGGCTCTGCTGAACCTCAAGAGGTAAAGCGGCTCACACAGACCCTCAGTTTGTGTCTCAGCAGTGGTACTCCAGGCTGTGTTGATGGTCCGATGCTTTAAAGAGCTGTGTGGTCTGCGGCGGGGCGCACGCTGGGCCAACACGAGCCCTGCGCTCTGCTCTCACCTGCTGACATGTTTTAGTTTTACATGACAGAGCAGCCTGCTGGTTTCCCCTGAGTGCTCTCCCAAAGTTAAAATCAGAGGGAGCTTTTATATTCTAGATTTATATTCAGACGAGTGTTTGTGCTCTTTTCTTCTTATTTTATCTCTCAAAACAAATATTTAAACATCCACTGACAACAGATCCTCAGGCACATTTCCACTAATCCASTGGTGGGCACCAGTCCGCTAAGGCGCAAATCCGCTAATTGCGGACCTAAATATTTTGTTTGTGCTTCAGCGGTCTTACTAATTTTTATAATTCATAAGCAGATTTGTGCTTTCTAAAATTAAAATGCAGTACCACTAATATAACTAATTATCTACCAGTCATCTATACATCCTGCTGACTGATGCTTTGGGTCACGGTTCTCATTTTCCACAATGCTTTGTGTCTGCTTACGTAGCAGGAAGGC